CCAGGAGTTTGAGGTTGCTGTGAGCTAGGCTGACGCCACGGCACTCTAGCCCGGGCAACACAGTGAGACTCTGTCTCAAAAAAAAAGAATTGGGTATCTACGAACTTTGGACTCATGAGTAACTAAATTGCTATTTTTTCACAGTAAACATAGGATAGAGTTGATACGCTTTAACCATGGAGTGACTGACTGAATAAAAACAATTCTAGTTATCACATATCTTTGCACCTGTGTAAGCAGAGTAGAATAAAACTTAATGGTTAATGTGACTCACAAACAGTTTACTCATCTCTACATATGATAGTTTGTCAATTGCCCAACACGGAACACTCCAAGACAAGCAGAATGGAGCTTCAGATGTCTCCTATCAACAACTTTAGTTGCAAAATTTGCCAAGGTGTCCTTTGAACAGATCTGATTTCCATTCTAAGAAAAACTTCTACTTGTAACCAGTACTGTTTATTATCATGTCATGATGGCCTAATGTTCTTTTTTTATTTATGCTATACCACCTGTTTCCTGAGCATTAAAAAAAGGAGACTGAAGAAAAAATGAAGACATTCAGATAATTCAAGTAAGTAAACCATTTGCCTGAGCTATATGACATTTCAAGATAATTCTTTCAGGACTCTATTCATTTTGGAAAGCACTCAAAAAATATATATTGAGCACCTAAAAAGTAAAACATGTTGAAGTCTAGATATGACAAAATATGTTTTTTAATATATTGTCTACATTTACAAATTGACCTTTTTAAGCTAATTAGAATGTTTTATATGATTGATTTTAAAACAAAGTACCTATAAGAAGTGATTGCCTTATCGTAATTCTTTCAGATTGTTTAGTAATATTATCAATTATTCATTCATATCAGAAGGACATAAAATCAGATATTAACATTAGCTTTTTAAACCCCTGAAAACTCTGTCTTTAAGTATGCAGAGAATGTCCAAAAATATGTTTTCCTTACTCTAGGAATACAGTATGTCAGTATGTCATAATTTATGAAAACCCAAGGCACAATTCCGTTATCCATTATTCAAAAAATAATACAATATCTAAAACCTAGTTACTACCCCTATCATAAGAACCTTGCATAAGTAGATTTTAAATTAAGATTATATAAAGATTATAAAATCCCAAATGTTTATTTTGGGATGAAAATTACTCCACTGATTTATTTCCTTGGTTATTCATCTGGAGAAGAATACACAGGTTTTCTATTTCTGCACCAAGACCAAAATTATGTTGTCAGTTTGAGAACTACCTCTCAGGAGGCCAAATTCCCATTCACCTCAGTTTCTGAGGTGTATGAGTTGAAAAGCACAGGAGTGTGTGTTACCCATCATATGTGTATGTACCAAGATGTGCACATATCTGTGCTTCATTAATGCACAGAGGACACGCAACAATTGTCACATGCCGGACGTGCCTGCACTGTGCACAATTATGCACCATTTCCTTCCGTGTGTTACTCAGCCGACCTCTTCTTGCATCTCGGCTCTGGTTGCTGCTATCTGAGTTCCCAAAGCTCCCAACCATCCCCCTTCCAGAACACTGCTTCATACTGCAAACCTTTCATTCCTCCTCACAAACATGCTTGCCCTTGATCCCGATTCCTCTGATTAATGCTTGCTCTGCCAGCTAATCCTACAGGCTAATCCATGCTAACAAGTGCTAATAACTTTCTACTGCTCTCATTTATGTCAGATATTTGTGTTTTGTTCTGGAGACAGTCCTTTAATCTAAAGGAATGTCTTACTGGTAGGAATTCTAGATGCATTAGTTAGGGGAAATACTGTGGTGGTAGGCCCTTAGGTGCCTCTCAAATGACCTTAGTATTATGAGCAGGGACAAAGTTCATCACAAGTTCAATACCCAATTCAGCTGTTTGGCTTTACTCTTTAATCTCCCCAGATTACACCAGAAATTGAGACAGGTTTCTGAATAATGCAAGTTATTTAAACACAGGGAAGACCAGAAAGAATGTGGTAATAGATCTGTATAAATTCATCAGCCCAGATGGCTTGGAACCAAAGCATGGGATAATATATACCCATATATATTTGCGATGACCACAGCTATCAACAAGTGCAGCTCTGAGAACTCGGAGCGGGAACTGGAGGCTCAGGCACCATCTCTAAAGTTAAAAAAGTCAGTTGTTACGGATTCAAGTTGATTCAT